AGCTGCTGCACTATAGACAACCAGGTCCAGCTATAGATGTTAATAAATGGACAGCGCTAGGGGCCCAGATAGCAATTCATTGGGTGGGTCTATTCTCAGAGCGATCTGGTTAATCAATGTCAGCCCTTTGTGTGTAAATTACAAATTCATAAATAGTGAATAAATAAATAAAACTTATTGCCGCTATATGACAAAAACGTGCAAAAATCTCTGCGCATCAATATATATTCAAACAATCCAACAGCATAAACCTGAATTGATTATCTAATTAGGGAGAGGAACGTAACCCTTAGACTTTAGGGATAATGTGAAAAATATCTCCAATATGTGCAAATAGCATAAAAAGTCCCAAAAAGTGCTCGATGAACTTTGCAAGGATCGTGTTAGTGCCACACATATGTATTATTGCTGGAGTCCTCTATAGCCGGTGCCATTCTGCATTCATTGCTGTATAATTTTACACTTTCCATTTCACTATATTGCACACCACACTTTTTTTTTTTCTTTTTTACTTCCACCGCTCCAAGCTTGCTCCTGTGATGGACTGCAATCTCAATACAAACTAGAAGTCCTATCACTGGAGCCATTTTTTAAAATGTATTTTATTTTTTATCCGATTAATCGAACTTAATAATCAGCTAACTAATCGATTTTGAAAATAATCGTTAGCTGCAGCTCTAGACTATGGACTGATCACATTATATTTGATATTAAAGTCTAAGGGCTATGTTCCTATTAGGGCTGGTAATGATTAAAATTTTCGTGTTCGGTTAATCGAAAGTTTTTTAAATCGATTAATCGAGGAATTTCGATCAATTATAACGCACATACAGATCCAACTACATTGGCCTATACACATACAGCACAGCAATGAATAAAAGGAATTAGGATCACACTAATCCAGCATGTTATTAATCTCACGTGCCTCACTCAATATGGCCGCCACTTGTGTGGGGCAACTCAGAATAATAACGTGCTGGATTAGTGTGATCCTGGTTCATTTTATTCATTGCTGTGCTGTATGTGTATAGGCCAATGCCTTGGCTGGCGCTCGTGCAGAAAGTTTCTTGGGCAAACTCACCGGCCCAAGTGGCTCCGTCGGCTAACGAAGGGGGGAGGAGTCCGGCGACGTCACGGACATCGACGTCACCTGACTCCTCCCCCCATCCCTTCGTTAGCTGACGGAGCCACTTTGGGAAGGAGTCCGGTGACGTCGATGTCCGTGACGTCACCGGATCGCCGACGGGACTCCCGGAAGCCGGCGGAGAGGTGAGTGTTTTCATTAGCGATCAAAATAGTTTAACGATTAATCTCTAAATTCCACAGCCCTAGTTCCTCTCCCTAATTAGATAATCAATTCATGTTTTTGCTGTTGGATTGTTTGATTATATATTAATGCGCAGAGATTTTTGCACGTTTTTGTCATATAGCGGCAATAAGTTTTATTTATTTATTCACTATTTATGAATTTGTAATTTACACACAAAGGGCTGACATTGATTAACCAGATCGCTCTGAGAATAGACCCACCCAATGAATTGCTATCTGGGCCCCTAGCGCTGTACATTTATTAGAATAGCGATGCACCTATACCGGTATTTCGGTATCGAGTACCGATATTTTTTTTCCCGGTACCAGAAGTCCCATTATGGAAGCCGGGCGGCATGTATATACTCGCCACCCGGCTTCCCGATTAGCAGGGAAGCCGGGCGGCATGCTTCTCGTCATTAGGTGACGAGAACGCATGAAGCCGGCTTTCTGGCCAATCAGGAAGGCGGGCAGTGTGTAATGACTCGCTGCCCGGCTTCCTGATACCAGAAGTATCGGGCTAGGGATCGGAGCATTTGGGCGAGTACTTCTACTCGCCCCAAATACTAGGCATCGGCACCAATACTAGTATCGGTATCGGTGCATAACTAGTTTAGAAGTTACATAGTTAGTCAGGTTGAAAAAAGACACATGTCCGTGGAGTTCAACCCATGGAGATAATATCTTAAAAACGGCCAATGCATTTCGGGGAGTTCTAAGGGACCCTCTTCATTGCGGCTCAGACATGACATATAAAAACTGCCATTGGCAAGAGAAATAGAGACAAACTGTATATCCAAAGAGTGTCCCAGCATCCTCAACAAAGTAATATTCAGTTACAGTGTAATCGTAATATGGTATATGGCAATCACTGATAAGTAACGGAGAGGTTGCTTCTACAGATACTACCAATAAACTATATCTGGATTCAGGTGGGGGTAGTAGTCATCAGTTACATCCAGCCAGTCATGATCTGGAATGTTGAAGATGTTTGCTGTGTATCCGAACTGCAGATCTCAGGAGCCCCATGCTCCCTCAAGCTTAGAAGGACCAGATAGTGGGGGGGTGGTACATGAGAGAGACAATTTGGCCACAGGAACATAGGCATGCTATGTGCCGCCATGACATCCTTTAAGTTCCAAGGAAGAAGCAGATGTGCAATCTGACCAACTACGCCGGCACAGATCTCCTTCCGTGCTTGGCATGGCCAGAATAATACAGGAAAAGCTTCTCGATGATGGGTTCTTGGGACTCAATGGATCACCAGGATTCAGGATCCTGGGTTCTTGGGACTCAATGGATCACCAGGATTCAGGATCCCAGGTTCTTGGGACTCATAGGATCACCAGGATTCAGGATCCCGGGTTCTTGGGACTCATAGGATCACCAGGATTCAGGATCCCGGGTTCTTGGGACTCATAGGATCACCAGGATTCAGGTTCTTGGGACTCATAGGATCACCAGGAACTAATTCATGCAAGTTACATCATTTAGGACAGGGGACGGCAAACTCCAGCCCTCCCTCCAGCTGTGGTACGACTACAAATCCCATTTCATGGTATTGCAAGACCCAGACAGCCACAGGTATGACTCCCAGAGGCAGATGCATGATTGTATGTGTAGTTTCATCACAGCTGGAGGGCCGGAGTTTGACTACCCCCGGTTTAGGGTAACATATACTTTAATGTATTGAATATATAAGTACAGAAATGAAACCAGAACTCCATTTTCTGAGGGCCTGTTGGTTGCCTCCTGATGATGATTGGCATTAGGGTGCAGATGATATGTGAAGGTGAGCACGTGTCACATGACTAATGAGACTCCCACCAATATGCTGCACATCACCGAGCGTAACAATTCCAGGGAAATAATTTACTCTTCTAATAATTGCCAAAGAAGCCTCTCAACGGATGTGTAAATGTCCCGCCTACAAATTAATTAGATCCAGGTACAGAAGCCTCCAGTCCTGAAAATTAATGAATGATTTAACCTTCGTCTCACTGACTGATTCTTCACCAGAAGGCAAAATTCGGGTGCAGAAATGTTGCCGGCACATTCCAGTTTTTAGTCACTTCCATGGAGTGGCTTAAAGCCCAGATGAACTTTGTTGGTTTTCCTTAGAAATGCATCCTGCTTCCTGCCAGCATGCTGCAGAGAAGGACCCTTGATCTCTGTGTGGAAGCAGTGGTATCTCTGCAAAGGATCAACACACCCTCTGTGGGGTCAGAGCTAGATCTCTCCAATCAGAATGGATGTCTGGCTCAGTAGGAGTCTGTCAGGGTTCCACCCTGATTTATCTGTGCTGCAGCATTCTGGCTTGGCTACCATTTTACTCACCTGTGATTCCTCCATTGCCTGAGCGGACTCTGGAACGTTGCTCACTACTCCCAGGCTCCCTCTTGTGGTCAGATAGGAGAGCATCATCTGAGAGAATCAGATGGGAGTTTCCTGTCTCTGAGTGATGATGTCACCCCACTCACTATATATACACCACTCAGTCCAGTCTGACCTTGCCCTTGCATGGTCTTCCTGCTAGTGCATTCCTGCTGCTCTGAGTATCCTGATTCTGTGTATGACCCGATCCTGGCTGACGTTCTCCTCTGGTTACTGCTCCTGGCTTGTTCCCGACGACGCTGATCTCCGTGTTCCTGACCTGGCTTGTATGACTACCCACTCCGGCTCCCGACTTTGGCTTGTTTCGGTGTATGATTCTTGCTTGCTCATGCGGACACTGTTCTTTAAAATATTTTAACTAGCACCTTATGCTTGTCTGGTTTTCATTGTGCTCTGACAGTGGAGTATCAGACCTCTGCAGAGAGGACACTGCTTCCACACAGAGAGCAAGGATCCTTCTCTGCAGCATGCTGGCAGGGGACAGGCTTCTCTACTCGGGCTGTGGCTGCTTTTTACAGAAAAAGTAAGACTTTGCTTTGATGCATCCGAAATGCGTTTCGCTATTTCTAAAGTGAATATTTAGGCTTTTAAAGCGACTTTGTCGCCATGTTAAAAAAAAAAAGAAATCTCCCTGCAGAAGAGTAGCAACACTTGCCTGCCCCACTGCTCGAGAGATTTGGCTGGAGTTTAATGATAACTGCAGTTCTGAATACAGAACCCCCATATAAGCCTTCCCCTCACCCACCACCCACCTTATGTATAGTTCACAGATCTCAGATCAAATGTTTAGGAGCAGGGGGTAGCCAAATTTCGGCCCCCGAGCTGTCCCATGTGTCCCCCCCAAGGCAATCGAGACTCTGACAGCCACAGGCATAACCAGAAGCAGATGAATGACTGGATTTGTAGTTTCGCAGCTGGAGGGATGAAGTTTGGCTACCCCTGGTTTAGCGGCTTCCTATTACTTCTGTCTGCACAATAACAGCATACAGGTACTTGCAGACATCTGTCAAAATAACCCAGACTTAGTCCCTACAGAAAAACACACTAGAGAGCAAAGAAAGGGCCTACCTTTCGTCCCGTTGGGGAAAACAGCGGAGCTGACGGCTATGTGGCCTTTCAGAACATACGTGAAACATTCCTATAGACACAAGAGGACACAGCGATCAGAAAACACCTCTACGGGAAGAGCGGGGCAATCTACCATAATAATGGGCACGAAGGAAACAATCTGTGCTCCCAATAACAGCCAATGAGGTCGCAGCTGTCACCTCCACCATCATTGTGAAAGGATGCCGTCCCTTACCTTCTCGTATTCCGACGGGGTTCCGAAATGCATCGTTCTGGTCACATCGGTCGTACCGTCCCTAATAAAAAGCAATTCTGCAGTTATATGTAATCAGGTCCTCTCTCGTTCATACATAGGCGCACTCAACGCACGTGTTTACGTTCGTATGTGCGCGTACGTGGGGACACTGGGCGGTAAAAATGTGCGCATGTGTGTGGGGGGGGGGCTCTTGTTTCATTGACAGTTCCCATTGGAGGCTTTCCCTCTCCATTCCTGTTCCAATGATCGCTGTAATGTTTTAGATTTTTGGTAACTTTTTGTCCGGGGGGGACCATGGTCACCAAGACAGAAAAGAGAGAGAGTGAATCTCCCCGCATAGGACCAAGCCAACAATAAAAACCTAAAAGGTATTATAACTCTTTGGTAGCATGGAGACGGCTTCCCGGCCAATCAGGAAGCCGGGCTCCGTGTAATGACATGACGCCCGGAGTCATTACCCGCCCCCCCGGCTTCCTGATTGGCAAGAAAACCTGGTG